ATAGGGATTATTTTTCGGTGATGTTGATTAAGGTGAAAATTTGTAAGATACCCGATTCGTATATTGAATTTAAGACGGCAGAAGCTGCAACGACGAACACCGTTCAGGAGCACACATTCAGTCCTTCTCCTCCAATGACTAGAGACGAAATACAGCAACAACTAGACAACCTAGAGAATTCAAACTAAATTACAAATGAGAATGAATAACTCAGAGAGCGAACCACAGTGTCCACTATGCCACTTCTCCCGGGGATACATTCGCAGTCTAGATGAAGAGCGAAGTGTGCTTTTGCGGAAGGATTGCAGAACATTATTCCGACTCCTGCGGCATCTTCAGATTCGTAGATGAACGCAGACGGCTTTTATGTGCCCGGCGGTGCTCGGTACGCCTTGACGAACCCTGCGAGCGGGGTTCGCATGTCGCAAGTATGGGGCGGAGTGATTCTACTGCAGATGTTCAGGACACAATTCGGCACTGTGCACGCTACCCGAAAAAAGCCGCCGCATTCAGGATGAGTTGAGCTATTGCGGCGAGATTACAAAGAGGTCAGTATCCGCATCCATCGGCTAAGAAGAACCATCATCAGGAAAATTCGACGAAACAGAAAAAAAAACACAATTGGAGTCCAATCCTCTCATCGTTCCACTTTTTGGCGGCCGGGAATATCGCGGTGAGCCGACTCCGAGCGTAGTAAGTGCTTTACTCATTCATGCTTTTTTCGATTACGACGACAGAATTCCGGGAGAATATCTGCAAAGTCACAGGCGCGCAGAAGCCAAGGAAAAACATGCATGGAAAACACATAAAAAGCTGCGTTTGGACTGCAGAAGCGAAACACCTAGTCCAGTATAAAAACTCGTGGCTCTTTCGGTCGTCGTCTCAGTGAACCTTCAATTTGCTTAGCCATTTTGTTATAGTTTTGTTTCATTATAACTCGCTTAGTGATGTTCTTGTAGTTCAATTACCCAGGTTTGGTTTTCACATAAAGTGCTTGACGTCTTTTGTTTTGTACTGTGGCAATACCGTGTCGTGGGCACCAATTACACGCATATAGATCTACCTCAATATTTTGGTATCCACTGAACCATTCATGCCAAACAACAGAACACTAGCGCTACACCGCTACAGAGTGTGCTGCGTAAATATGAAGCAGACCAGATGTTCTCAAGCAGTACCACGAAGTGTTTCAAGATCAGCTGAATAAAGGCATTCTAGAAAAAGTGGAAGAATTAGCGGACGGGTTCTGGGAACTGAAGCATTACATTACGAAGCATTAGTAATCCGTAATCACTCCACTGAAAGACACTACAAGATTTAGTGTAGCGTTCGATGCGTCAGCTTACTACAAGCATTGCCCCTCATTGAATGATGTGATGCATCAAGCCTACCGCACTTCCCAAATTGTACGGAGTACTGCTACGTTTTTGCAAAGCACAGTACGTTCTGCTCTTGGGTGTTGAAAAAAGCGTTTCTGCAGGTACATCTACATGAAGCCGACAGAGACTTCACCAGATGTTTATGGATTAGGGATGTCACAAAGCCGTTGACAGATGATAACGTGATTACGTACAGGTTCAAGAGAGTAACCTTCGGCATCAACGCTTCACCATTTCTGCTGAGTGCAACAATCCACTACCATCTGAACAACTATGTGGAGGATAAAGCACTGGCCAATGAAATCGCAACAAATCTGTATGTCGATAACCTGATCATTGAGGTGGACTCGGCAGCCAAAGTTATAGCGAAGTATAAAAACTTGACGTCGATATTTAATGAACTGATGAATCTTAGCATTCCGTAAATAACAACCCTGAAGTCATGGGTCTCTGGCCGCTCTCCAAATACAGTGCCGCAAGTACAGGGAATAACTTGCATTCGACCACAGACATTTTTTCGTTACATGTAAATGTGCATGAGGACGAATTCCTCAGTAAACGCACTATCGCTCAGCAAATCGTGATTGTATATCACCCGTTGGAATGATTTATTCCACACTTGGTGAAAGCAAAACACTTCCAGCAGCTTTTATGGAAGCATAACTACGACTTGGGATGAGCCCCTGAGCGAGGAGCATAAACAACAGTGGAGTTGGATCGCTCAGGGACATGTCGAGTTTCAAAAAAGACCTACCGAGAAAGAGCACACAAGAGGGAGTGACATCGTATACGCTTATAACATACTCGGATACATCGGCTGGCCGCCGCAAGTCACTGTATAGGCCACATCGCATTCAATAAGCCACTACGATTCTGAATGAAAGTAGAATGCGTGCCGCATCTAACAAAGGGATTGATCTACAGCGAATACTTATCCTTTATTTTACCAATGAGGCTAATTAATGTACGTCATCTAGAATATGATCTAGACGCCGCAATCCGTAGGGTGTAGCTTAAAAGATCTCACTTCACACCTATCATGCCTCTCGGGGAGACTCGCCTGCGGTGTTGCCTGACTTAATTGCTCTCTCACTAACTCCTGACCTTTCCTCTACTTGACGATTACATCATGATGACTGATTATTTACTGCTGATTTTTAAGCAAATTCAATAGAATTAAGGACTACAATTGAAAAATTTGAATCAGAAACAATCAAAGATGAAAAGCATGCTAAAATGAATTAAAGTGAAACAAAAATTAAATCAAATTTAAAAAATTGGGCTTAGATGGTAGGGTTAGTAACAAATCGACATTTTTCTACAATATTCTTCCGCTTCGAAAACTTCGTACTGTTTGGTCCCATACATGCAATAAAAAGTGAACGAATCTGATGCCTACAATCCTGTAAATTATTACATCTCGTTTTCCATATTTGCTTGTCGTTCGCCCAAATGTATTCCCGTGGTTGTTTCTGCTGGTGCTAAAAGGGAATCTGAAGATTGCTGAGAACTTGAAAACGTGGATGCTGCAAGGAAATGACCGAGTTGCGTCTGATGGTATATGTCAAAAAGATAGCCGCGCTGCTAAGAGCCAGGAAGCCGAGTTTGCAGCGAGAGTTCATGCCAGTCGAAAACGCACTAAGTGCGGCGTCGACTGTGTGCTCATCACAGCTAATAAACATAAACGGAGGAAACGGCACATGCATGGTCGTTTACTGCCTCCGAAAAATCGGTTGTGTACAACTAAACCATTATGTGAGTTAGTAGCTTTGTGCACAATCAATATGAAAAAAAGAAAACAGTACAAAGAAGCGGAGTGATGTGCTGCCGGAGACAACGCGGAAAATCAGAGGATTGGTGGGAACGGAGGTAAGGGAGTGAATGTTATCATTCATGCTCTACTGTGCGTTACAGTGCTAAAGATGTCCGCTAATCAGCTCGCTTAGTTACTGATTAGCGACAAACTTTATATCAGGTGTGACGTTGGGTAAAAAGAGGTGCCTAACAGTCAAAAGTGCTGACGGTCATATTTAACGAATTAACCTCCCTATAGGGGCATTAGAGTCCAATTACAGCGAGTTCTTGGCAGAACACATTCAACCTTCAAGTAATTACAGAGCCTAGAAGTTCAAATCTTTTGGGATACCTTCCATGATGAAAACAATAGAATTTTTTCAATAGGTGCCCTTTTTCCCATTTAAATTGCGGTAATTTCATGTTGTGTACGTCTGCATTTCAGTTGCTCTAAGTGGTTAAATGTGTTCTTGACATTTTAAATTTATGAAAACATCTTTTTTCTGACATTTCCTACGTTTACTTTTATTTTTTTCTTCTTTCCATGTTCAGTTTGGCTCAGTCGTGTCTGTAGACGAGAGGTCAGGAGTTAGTGAGAGAGCAATTAAGTCAGGCAACACCGCAGGCGAGTCTCCCGAGAGGCATGATAGGTGTGAAGTGAGATCTTTTAAGAACATCACACACCCCAATCCGTATGACCTAAACGTGTCAATGCGCGCTCACCAAGTTACCGCTGTTCTTCTGGCCCATAATGGACAAAGAAACAGAACGTAGTCATTTGTGCAGAAACGTATACAGGGGTGCCAAAAAAGCCACTTTGACCGAGTCACATTTCAGCAAAGTTTTTGCAGCCAAGACAGAGGACTTGGGCGGAAGATACCCAAGATGTTCCTCGATAAGCAGGAGCTGGCTCTCGCCCATCACCTTCATGTACACCAATATGAGGTCATCTCCAGTCGCAGCCTGACTGGAGAAGACCTTTGGAATTCATGTCACCTCCAAACAGCTGCGAAACTTCTAGTGTGGAGTCACCCATGGATAGCTACCTGGAGACCAGTACTCTCGATCTGGAAGACCTCCAACATCGAGCAGCTCCGACAACGTCGCTACGGTCTAGGACATCATCTTCACCGCAGTCGCCAAGGCGCGGGTTGATGGTATGGACCGGACGTACCTGGAATGGAAAGACCGATATTTTCTTCGTGGACCCCGGACTGAAGGTCGCTGGCGGTTACATCGAGCAACTCGAGAAGAATATCCTCCTCACATGTCGTCGCCCGTACCTTCTTGGAAACTTTGTACTGCTACAGGATTGGGTGACACCACATGGAATCGAAGGGCGTTGGAAAAACTCTCGCCTACTTGGAATGGAAGGGCTGAGCACCTGTACAAGATGGAATATCTAAGCAGGTCGCCTGACCTATCAACTATCCCGCTGATCTCAGGCACCGTGCCAGAATCTCTCAATGGCGCTCGTCCAGAAGGCTGTGGCGGAGTATCATGATAGTATTTAATATGCTCTTTAATATGGTGGTAGAAATGTCCGATCAGAATTTAATAAAGTGTAACTTATAGCGCCTCGAAAGTCAAGGAAGAAAAGTGTCTTTATTTTGCCCCCCTCCCTGTATTCTGCATTTACTGTGCCTGGACTATAGCCGGGATACTAGTTTAAACAAACCACTCATTCATTGCCACCTAGTAGCCTCTGAATCGAGGAGAGGAAGACCTTCATCCGTACCTGCTATAGATTTCCGTGAAAACACGACTCAAATAACTTTTGGCTTCTGAAACCCAGACCTGAGACTTCCGCAGCTGGTAAGTAAGAGGTGCTCTAGATGACGTTGGAAAATAAAATGAAATGTAGCACCAGCTCATCGTCCGCAAGAATGGTTTTTTTGGAAACCCATCGTGGATACCTCCAACCGATTTCAAAGTTTACGTGTCAATTAAAGTGTATCCGCGTTCACCTTTGGAGCTTGGCTGACGTCTGTTTTTTTTTCTGGACCAGTTTTACC